CCTTCAAGACAGCTTGATGATGTGATGAGGCGCTATATCGAATGCAAGGATCATTATTAATGATCATGATTAATACTAGTGCTGAGCGGAGGAGGAGGAGAAAGAATTGAGTTCCATCACTGCATCCCGCCTGGCCTGCAGACAGGGAAAGGTGACAACATTGAGATTACAACACAGGACTTTCACCAAACATTGAGGGGCGCAGAGTTAAAGTATTGGCTAACTGCTCCCCTTACCAGTTATTTTCTTGATAGAGCCACAGCTCAACTACAACTGGGGTCATAGTAACAGGGAACGGGGGGGCGGAGGGGGGAGGGAGTCAGCTGCCTAATTGCTGCCCCTCACTCAAACTCCTGTGTGTCTACACACATGGCCATACAGCTCACAACAGTCTCAGGTTCCATCCCTGCTACAAGCGCTCCGAAACGTTACCCCCCTATGAAGCATGTTATATAAATGCAAGTTGTTGTTGTTGTTCTCAGCCGGGTAAAATGCTTCATCAAAGGTGAATCCCATCCCCTCTCCCCATTTGTGGCTACGTCAGGATAAGGGGTAAAATAATTCACCCAAAAAAAAGAATAATTTGGTCACTCAATCCACGACTATTTGTGGGACTCTGCTGTGCGCGATGGGTTGCCGCTTCTGCCCACAAAATATACAGTCACTCCACTTTGCAGTGTATCCTGTGAAGCGCTTTGAGATGTCTCAATGACGTGATCAGGCGCTATATCAAATGTAAGTATAAGCCCCCTGCTCCCCATTCAGCAGTGCCTGAGCTCCTAAATGAACAGCCAAGTCACTGTATAACGGCAGCAATCACTCCTGAGGAGGTCAGAAAACCTATTACCTACAGCTTCACTGTAACCTCAAAGACATTCTCTTTCAGATGAGACATTAAACCAAGATTCCCGCTGCTTGTCAACAATAATAATAATATTTCCTGCATTTGATACCGCGCCTTATCACATCTTGGGCAAGTTTCCTTACTCCACACGCCTAATAATAATCCCTCCGAAACAAAGCAATAATAAATGGGTCATTTCAATCCACAGCTGTTTGTGGGACGCTACTGTGCGCAATTGGCTGCCGAATTTTGCCCACAAATATATGGTCAATTCACTTTACAGTCTATTCTGTGAAGCGCTTTGAGATGTCTAGAAGACGTGAAAAGCGCTGTATCAAATGCAAGGATTATTATTAATATCTTCTAAATATCTCAAAGCACTTCACAGAGTATACTATAAAGTGAATTGACTGTATAGTTTGCGGCAGCCAATTGTACACAGCAGTGTCCCACAAACAGTCGTGGATTCGGTGACCAAATTAATTATTATATAGATTTTTGAAGGGTTTATTAACCCCAGAAAAGCGATCCACGAATCGACTAACAAGCGGGTTACCTCCTTACTACTAGGGAAACAGAGACATGTGTGTGTGGAGTAAGGAAACTTGCCTCACGTGGGAATCGAAACCAGGTGATCTCGCTTGTGGGTGTTGTAGATCCGGGGACACGAGGGAGAATGGGGCGCCTAGACCTGACCCTAACCAAAGACAGTCCCTCATCAAGATAGATTGATCACGGCTCCATGTGGCACAGCTGCCACAGGCGTCCTCAAACACACAGTCACTACACTTGGTAAGTGCTTCGAGACATTCCAACATTGTGGGCATTGGATCAAATGCAAAGGTTGTTACGAAAGCCAAACATCAATAGTATTTTGAAGAAAAAGTGCACGTTATAACAATAGCAGAAAGCTTAAGGCAGCAATTCCAGCTGGGATTTTTTTAATGCAGAAATTTGCTGTCAGGGATTGTTATCAGAAGTACTCACACCAATAACTGCCTTGTAGCTCAATGTCAGACAACCTAGCCTGAAGATTCCTGCGTATGGGAGAGCGCGAGAGAGGAGAGATAACACAAGACACATTCCGAGGGTTAATAACTCTTACGCATAAAAAAATTATGCTCCACAGATCTCACAGTGAATTTTATATATATATGTATATAAAAATCAATACAATAACACTGTTCCTTCCAAGGAACTCCAAAATCAATACACAACAAGGCAGAATCCTCTTGAGCTCTATTAGAAACCCACCAGCAATATAATGAGGAACTAATACTCTAGCACAGTCTAACACAGCAGAACAGGAATAATTAGCAGCCCCTATTTCTAGTTAGCTACTACAGTACCGAATACATGATTCTTAGAGAGAGACAGAGAGAGAGAATGCAAGCGCATTGTAATGTATTTTGCCCACAAACTATACAGTCAAAACACTCTACAGCGTATTCTGTGAAGCTCTTTGAGACATCTCGAAGACGCGATAAGGCGCTACATCAAATACTAGGATTATTGTTATTATTACTACTACAGTATATATCGGAATGGTAGTTGAAACAGAATTAAGGAAATCCCTGATGTGAGGCAGAATGAATTGGACCAAAAAAAACACAGAATGTCACTCGAAATGTCTTTTTTTAAATGCGTCTTTTTTAAGAATTAAAAAGAAATCCTACCTTCTCGGTGTCAGTCAGGGGTTCCTCATAACGTGAAATGGGCAGGATTAAATCCTGGGGTGAAATAGGCGTCAGATACCAGCGAGTGATGTAGAGGGCACTAGAATTAGTGTGTAGACTGGGTAGAACACTATCACACACTGTCCACAAGACAGTGTCTGGTCCTCATACATAACAAGGCGAGCAGCTAAGGCTCTGACATTCGCTCTTCACAGTGATCTGGAGTATCTAAAGGCGTTTCTACCGTTACACTGCAAAAATCCTGTCCTCAATCTCACCGGGCAATAGAACACAAAAGGTGGGATTGAAAGATCCTTCCCATTAGCAAGTCGTTAGACAAATACACTTATTGATTTCCTTTCTCTCTCCCCCTTTCCCCTTCACAGCAAATGGGTTTAAACAGCAGAGATAAGGGAAGTCTTCCCCCTTAGCCTATTTTATTGACATTGGGACAGTTTAGTTGCCAGGGCTTATCTGGAGGTGGAAAACAGTCACACGACACTAACAGTAGCTTCTTGTTATAACTAAACCCGATGACACGTTCTCAATTAATAAAGATGAAAGAGATAAAACAGCCATCCCTCTCACCCTCTCTGTCTCTCTCACTCTCTCCCTCTCTCTCTCCCTGAAGCTGAAGGATGAGCAATGAAAGGGGTCCTCCAATAACACACACACACACACACACCCCTTCTTCACCAGATACCATGTTCATTGTACAAATTCACGGTTTACTGAGTATTGATTGCACTCTCTGCTCCCACTCTGCTCCATCCATTATATTCAAGGCATTATATTCAATAGCTGGAACACACACTGAAACACAGGGCTGCATCTGATGGGCAGAATTGCAAACACACACATATATATATACACACACACACCACCCACACCACCACTCAAGCACATCGATGTCTTTAATATTAAACCCTCCTTTTGTCCCCCTGCAATCACATCACATCACACCTGCAAACAACAGCTGATCTCGTCAATTCCATCTGGTCAGTGTCTGTCCTGTTCCCTCTCGTCATCTGTATTAACCCATGGATTATTCAGTGCATTTTTGCATTCATTCCCCCCCTCTCCCCCCTCTCCCTGTTCGCTTTTCCCACTGAAAATCGTGACACACATTCTGGAAATCACCAGAAACACCAAAAACCACCAAAGTCACACAGTTGAGGTGCAGCCCAGAGATCGGTTGCATTATTGACCAGAATAAGACACTCATAAACGCTCCGGACTATTCCTGGGGGTTTGGAAAAGCAATGGGTCTCACTTTTAGATCAATGTGTCCCTCTCACAGGGGTTTTGCTAAAGCCTTAAAATGACAACACAGCTCCAATTTAATGAGAATATTCCTTTATTTCCATTCCCCCCCCATATGGATATTGGATGTCAGTTTCACAGTGCAATTCCACTCCAAAAAAAAAATCATCGATAAGTAAGTTCGCACAGTTATATCCCAGAGAAGTTTGGACAGCAATCAGATTGGTCCAAAATACCAATAATTTATATACTGTACATAAGAAAGCGAAGAGTATAGATTCCTCCAAGACGTTTGCAGCAAAAATATACATATATATATATATATGTGTGTGTGTGTGTGTGTGTGTGTGTGTGGATATATATATATATATATATATAAAACAGGAGGAAAAGAAAAAAATATGTAGGTCAGGATCAAGATTTTGGGGAAGACAAAAAACCTTCAAAAATTAGATTTTTTTTTAAAGAAAAAAAAACTTGTCCCCAATCAACTGTCAAAGTCATTCCCTACTCAGAACTGAAGCATTTAGAAAACATGCAGTCACATCAAAACCCACCGAGTCCTTCACCTGCATTGCACTCCACAACCCCTCCAATTCACTCCCCACAAAAAAAAAAGAAGAGGTTTTGCAGGAAAAAAAAAACAGGGAAAGAAAAACAATGACTTCGTGGCTTTGCTTTGGCATCAAAACAGTTCCCAAAGTGCAAAAGCCTCGGACATTCCTCCCCCCAAAAAAACCACACAAGTCAGAGGTTTGTAATGAATATTTCTGCACCAACTGCATTGCGCCTCAGTCCCCAATCGCTGTGCAATAAATTCATATTTCATGAAATAAATCCACGCGCCGACATTCTCTCCTCATCTCCAGAGGAAAAAAAATAACACCACCGAAAAAAAAAAGGAGCGCCGCTCTTTAACCGTCGCGACAGATTTCCATTGCGTTCCTCTCTCTCTCTTTTTTTTTTAAAAAAAATAAATTTCTTCCATTAAAATATATATTTCAGGAAAAAAAAATGCCCTCAAAAAAAAAACCCCTCTCACCGTATAGTCAGCCCACACCCCCCCCCCCCCCACCCACTCCCCCCACAAAAAAAATACACGACCGTTTTGCTAGAAATTGCAAGAAAAAAAAAGTTATGAGTTATTTCATCAAAATCATCCAAAAAAAAAGAAAAAAAATAGAATAGTTGTGTGTCTCAGAGTGTCCGCTACTCACCAGCACCGGATACTGAGTACCCACTACACACACTGACTTGTTACACTGTACACCGCACACACACACACACACGCACACGCACAATGGTGGACGCTTTCGCTTTCGCTGCCCCCTCCCGGCACCCGTCCGGCGAGACTGCGCCTGCGCCCCGCGGGCTTCTGCGCATGCTCATTCGGGACCTTGTGACACATTGAGAGCGGCTTTGCCAGGATCGCTGACTGGCAAGGTGTGCAGGAGGCCCGCCCCACGTGATTGCTCTCATCACTATCACCTGCCCTCCATCTGCCAAGTGGGGGGGGAGGGGGAGGGGGGGGGAAGGGGAGGGGGAGGGGGGGGAGGGGGGGGAGGGGGGGGGAAGGGGAGGGGGAGGGGGGGAAGGGGAGGGGGAGGGGGGGGTTGTCTTATTATCTGTTTGCAAACAGCACGTTGTTATTATTATTATTTACAATAATGGTGAATTTGGTATAGCGCCTCATCACGTCACAAAGCGCTTCAACAACAACAACAACAACATTACATGTGTGTAGCGCCTTTCACGTCAGGAGGACGCCCCAAAGCGCTGGACAGTGACAGCATTTCAGACCCGAGCTGGGGTCGGGGGGGGGGGGGAAGGGAGGGGAGGGGGGTGGCTGATGGCGTGGTTGAAGAGGAGGGTCTTGAGGCGGGACTTGAAGGAGGCTAAGGAGGGGCTGAGGCGGAGTGATTGGGGGATGGAATTCCAGAGGTTGGGGGCAGAGTGGCTGAAGGCTCTACCACCAATGGAGGGGCGGGTGGGTCGGGGGATGTGGAGCAGCCGGAGCCGGCTGAGCGGAGGGAGCGGGCGGGTTGGTAGGGGTTTAGGAAGTGGCAGAGATAGGGTGGGGGGAGGCCATGGAGGGCTTTGTAGGTGAGGACCAGGATTTTGAACTGGATCCCCTGAAGGATAGGGAGCCAATGGAGTCGGGCGAAAATGGGGGAGATGGGGTCACGGAGTTTGGTGCGGGAGAGGACACGGGCTGCAGAGTTCTGGATTACCTGCAGCTGTGGAGGGAGGAGTTGGGAAGGCCGACAAGCAGGGAGTTTGCATAGTCGAGCCTGGAGGTGATGAAGGCATGAACAAGAGTTTCAGCGCCTGAGGGGTGAGGTAGTGGCGGAGTCGGGCGATGTTACGGAGGTGAGGGAAGGCAGAGCGGGTCATGGCTTGGATGTGGGGAAGAAAAGACAGTTGAGGGTCGAACAAGACACCCGGGTTCCTGACTGGCTGGTGAGTTGAAGTGTGGAACCATGGAGGTTGATGCTGCCGGAGCCTGAGGTGCTGAGGGCCAATCAGGAGGGCCTCAGTCTTGTTCACTTTCAATTGTAGGAAATTTGCCCTCATCCAGGAGTTGATGTCTGACAGACAGTCTGTGAGGACAGCAGTGGTCCTGGAGTTGAGGGTTGAGGCAGAAAGATAGAGTTGGGTGTCATCCACATACATATGGAAGTTGACCCCATGTAGGTGGGTGATGTCACCAAGGGGGGAGCATGGAGATATTAAAGAGGAGAGGGCCAAGGACAGAGCCCTGGGGGACACCGACGTGACAGTGCGGAGGCTGGAGGAGAAAAATGGAGATGGTGAGAGAGATAGGAATCGAACCAGGCAAGGGCAGGTCTGTGAAGATTGAATAAAGCGGAGAGACGATGTATGAGGTTGGAGTGGTCGACAGTGTCGAAGGCGAAAAAGAGGTCGAGGAGGACAAGGAGGCAGAGGGAGCCCTGATCACAGATGTTCAGAATGTCATTAGTGACTGTGACCACGGCTGTTTCTGTGCTGTGGGCAGTGTGGAAGCCGGATTGGAGAGGTTCAAAGAGGGAATGGCGAGAGAGAAAGGAGCGGAGCTGGGACGCGACGACTCGTTCCAGGACCTTGGAGAGGAATGGGAGCTTAGAGGTGGGGCGGTAGCTGGAGAGGAGGGATGGGTCCAGGATTTACTGAAAAGTTTAATAACTGTGTGTTTGTAGGTGAATGTGGCAAGGTGTGAAACTGACTGCATTTAATTGTTTTAATCGTAATCACTCCCCCCACCTCTTATTTCATCATTCAGCATGGCAATTTGTGTCGTTTTCTGCTTACAAACAGCACGCTAAAATAATCATTTGATGTAGTGTCTAATCACGTCTTCGAGTTGCCTGATAGTGATATTGAGAGGGAAGGGATTTAACTTGAAAGAAGCAAAATCAAATGCAAGGATTATTGTTATTATTTTATAACCAGTTCAACAAATAACCATGAAGTGAACAACCGATTCACTTAGGGGAATTGTTGGCCAGGAAACTGGGAAAAACTCCCAATTCTCTTCTCTTTTTGAACAATGTCCCGGTATCTTTAACATCTCCCTGAACAGCGAATCTCAGTTTAATCCTCTTCTGAAACAAAATCCCTTTGACCGTGTAGAGGAGGCTTCTCCACCACTGCAATGAAGGGTCAGCTTGTACTGTCAGATCAACATAATAATAATAATAATCCTTGCATTTGATATAGGGCTTTTCACATCTTCGAGACATCTCAAAACGCTTCATAGAATATACTGTAAAGTAAATTGACTGTATGTTTTGTGCGAACTGCGGCAGCCAATTGCGCACAGCAGCGTCCCACAAACAGTCGTGGAGTAAGTGACCAAATTATTCATTTTGTTTTGAAGGAATTATTACCCCCAGAAAAGATATCCGCCCATCGACTAACAACCGGGTTCCAACTTACAGATTAACGGAGGCGTGCAGGAGTAAGGAAACTTGCCCAAGGTTTATTCCTGCCGGGATTCGAACTCAGGTCTCCCGCTTGCGAGGCGTGTGCTCTAACCATTATGCTACAGGACTCCACTTTAATGTAGGGCTTTAATGTAAATAGATACAAATTGGAACAAGAAACAACAGTAATAAGCTTGTCCGCACACTGAGCGGGAGCCCATTAGAAGAGGTGGAAAGGAAAAGGATTATTGATCAGTCACTGAAGGTTTCCAGTCAATACGAAGGTTCAGTAACAAAGCTAATCAGATACTAAATTGTACCTTAAGGGTATCTTAAGCTATGGATCAATGGAAAAAACAATTGTAAATGCTGTGATCAATTGAGTCAACTCTGGAACATTCTTCCTCTATCCCTCCGCATTGCCCTTTCCTTCGTCGTCCCCGAAGACCTTCCTCTTTGACTGTGCCTACGGTCACCTCCCTCCTCCCCCCAACTCAGCGTCGTGCTCCGCTACTGTCAAGTGCACTGGGACGCTACCCTGCATGAGGGGCACTATATAAACACAAGTTGTTGTTGTTTAGTGACATTTAGTATTTATCACTTTGAATGTCCTCCACTCCACTCTCCTCCAATTCTCCTCCACTCCCATCTCAAACCTTCTTTTTACTTAGTCAGCTGGGTGTCTGACACATGTGGAAACCCATCACCACTCTTAACAGTATCCCAGCCAAACTGAGAATTTACCTACATGTTGAAATTCATGAGATATTTATTGGAATGGAATGCACTTTCGCTCCATGGATTCCGGAGAGTATAGGCACAGGTTGGCTTGGGAACCCCAGAGTGTGTTGGGGTATTGCATTGCAGGTGTCTAAGCAGCTTACCATTGATATCGCTGTCTACCAAGCTTTCCCGCTGCTTGTCCAGCTAAGACTAGTCTACCAGTTAGGGCTTTGGCTTGCAGGGTTAACAAGAGCTGAGTGGGAGGATTCCCTACCCCCTGTGACTGTCTGCCCTTCCAAGTCCTGCTGATGAGCCAGGCTGGTCATCAGCAGTGCCCTGGAATACTGCGGACCTGCCTGGCTCAGGAACTGGACAAGAGAGAAAGCCACAGAGGGCTGGCTCAATTCTGACATTACGTTGCCATACAGCTCACCTAAGAGCCAGTTCTCCAAGACCCCATTTACCCCTGCCCCAAGGAGGATAGTCAGTCACTAGTTGATCAAATTCCCATTCACACCCATTCCCTGTTCACCCCTCTCCCTGTTCATCTTACTTCCTATTCACTGCTCTACCCACTCGCCCACCTCTCTTGTCCATCCATCTTCCCATTCATCCATCTCCCATTACCCTTTATCTTGCCATATTTTTATTCGTTCCCCATCCCCTCCCCCCCCGACTCCCTGCATGGGTATAGAGTAGTTGAGGCCAGTTTTATGGCCCTCCATGGCTGAGATCACCTTTATTAAACCGTTATCCCTTATTGAACTTCAAACACAGGCGTAAAATTAACAGCCCTCATCAAATGGTGGGATGACAGAGCGTGGAAAGCTGATGCCATTACATAGTTTTAACCACACTCTGTTGCTCCATAAAACGATCAGTAAAACTCCAGCCTCCTCATTAAACCGCATACGCTTAAAATCTAACAAGTCTCCAAAGAGTCTCTATGATTAAAAGGGAGAGAAAATCCTGAATATGGGGAACTCAGTACTCAGTAACCGGGCGAAAACTGTAGATAAATTCAAAGGTAAAAAGTCCGTTGTGGGTAACACAATTTTTACCCAAAGAGAGAGGAACGTCTGAAAGAAAGCGGGTATCAATATTTTCGTGAATCTCTTTTATGAATTTGTTTTTTAGAATTGTACTCCACCCAATTTTTGGTATCATAATCACAGGACATAATAAATAATAATAATCCTTACATTTGATATGGCGGCTTTCACATTGGGAGAACAACTCAAAGCGAAAATATACAGTCAATTCACTTCACAGTATGTTCTGTGAAGCGCTTTGAGACGTCTCGTGATAAGGGGCTGTGTGATATATACTTAAAGTTTTTTATCATTTGTGTATGAGAAATATTGCATTGGAACGAGTTGTTAGGTTCTGCTCTGAGCATTACTCGCATTAGTGGTTGATGGGACTCCTGTTTGATGATCTTTGCTGTATAGTGAAGATATTGCTGTGGCAGCTCGCTATATTTCAAGGCTATTAGCAGAACAATGTTTAGCCTGGTTACTGAGACAACCGGGATGCAAATGGGAGTAATCGACAATCAATATGATAGGCCGTTTCCTCCTTCAAAA